CTTTTTTTATGTAAGTTTTCGATGAATTGCGTATTTAAAGGTTTGTAATAATTATTACAAAAGAGAGAAAATATGTTCAAAAAGAAAGAAAACAATATCCATTTTACAATTCATATTTTCTCGTTGCTGAAGTTATAAAAATACCTCGGGTGACTATTCCCGGGTTAATGCAAGATTTTGTACGGCGAAGTGTGAACGTTATAACGTCATAACTTCGCCATATGTTACAAAATCTTGGAATATATTCGTGAATGTGTGATAACATTTATCTGTAAAACGCGATTCGTGGACGGTGGTCGATTTTTCAACAATTTATGACTCTTTTATAATGTTAGTAACAACACCGACGGCGTGTGTGCATCTTTTTCCCGTACGACGTTCTTTTCGCTCTACGAGCATGAAGATTTTTTTTTTTTAAGTCTCGCGTGGCAGTCCGTTTGATCTTGTCTCCCGCGTACCGACTCGAATCATCCCCCATCGATTTATGGCAGCCCCGAACCCAGCTCACTTAGTGTCGACTGCGAGGCTGCCGAACAAGCTGAACATTAAGACACATCTACACGGAGAAATAGAGTTTCGCTATTTTTTTTCCTTTTTCTTAGTTCATCTAACGAGCAAACAGTATTAATTAGAGTTTATGTATATTTTATATAGGTAATAATTGTAATAATAATAATTCGTAATATCAATTCATCCCAACAACAAGTTTAAGTTATCATCTGATAGTATTTTGTTTCTTTTCTCTTTCAATCTTTTATTCTCTTCTTTTTATCTATCTTTCTGTCTTTTTTCCTCGACTCGTTCTTCTTCGATCGATACTTTCTTCCTCATTAATATATATCTCTGTTTATTATATATATATCTTTATTTGTTTTATATATATGTATAGACTGATATCAACACGTATAACACGACGACGACGTTTTTTTTTTCTTTGTTAAATCAAGTTCTCGCGGAGAAAGTTGTGTGGCTGCTCCGATTACGCGCCCGCTAATTACAATCTTTTTATTTCTTTTTATACGTGACTAATGCAAACAAATTATCGGACCGTGTTGCGAAACTTAACGACGATCCGATCAGTCAATTGTCTTTCATTTAGGTTTCGGCGTTTTATCAGTTGAACCATCTTGCGCTTCTCTTACTGCATTTATTTCAGGTTCATCCCCAAGGAGGACACGAAATTTCGAGGCTTTATCACCCCCTTCGAGCTCCAAACGTGTCGAGTATTCGTTTTTCTTTTATTTTTTTATATTATTTTAATTCGTTTGCACTACAAGCAAGCGTAGCGCTTGCAGCAGGACTTTATTCGTGAAAGAATGTGAAATCGATTTTACCTTAGCGAAGACGAAAGCTAAATGGAAAGCTCCGTTTGTCCTTTAATATTCATTGTCCTTTAATATTCATTTCCTCGATAGATAAGCTTGCGAGAGAATACTCTCACTAAGGGAACATCCGATTAATTGACGAATAAAGTTCTGCTTCTTCTCGGCGTCTTTTTGGATCTCGGATCGCTTCCAAGATATGCGGATATTTAAAAATTCAATAATCTATAGTCAAAATCCTCTCGCGATGCGTTTAAAACGGTACGTATCTGAGAAATATATTTGCATGTATCAAAGATTTTCAATATGTATCACGACCATCGAAAGAGTGCTCAGAGAAGTGCTAACTTACCCTTTTTTCGATTTTTGGCCAACGAAAGAATTAATTCCCACCTTTCGGATCTCATTTGATTATCGATTCTAATAATAAATTCGATTGGACACACTGGTGTGCGTTGGTGTACATTAAAGCCGTTATACACTGATTTAATTCGAGTATAAAAGTGAAATGCAAAAATTTCGAATTATAAAATACATATTTTGTATCTAACAACACAATAAAGTGTATTGATGATTTCGCGGGTTTAATTCATTTCTATATTTATATTAACCTTAGAATACACACCTTCCAAAAAATTCAAACACATCTGTCAAAATTACAATAGATCTTCCAAATCCATTGTAACTTTAAGGATCCATCCATCCAAGGAAATCCATTGTAACTTTTTAGGATGTAACTTTGATTTAGATTTTTGATTAATATGTTGCTTTCTTTTTTATTTTAAAGCTCTCTGATTTAGGAATACACCTGCATAGGTTGTAATGCTCAAAAAGTTTTATATTACATTATAAAACAGAATTCTCCTTTTTCTTTTCTTCGAAGCAAGTAAAATTTCGTTTGGGTCTGGAAAACCTATGCATGTTCCAGAGTTAAACACATATCTTTACGTTAATCCGTATGTAACAGTTTTAATGTGCATCAGTGCGCACTGAATGCGTCTAATCGATTTCATTATAAACTTATAATTTCCTTCCAGTTTCCTTTTAGCCGTGTCTTTCGGACTTCCCTTCTACGAGTAAGATGGGCCGTCGCTATTGCTCGCACGCATACAGCTAAGATCTTAATGGTAAGTTCGCTACTCGACGGGCAAAGTGTATATATATATGCGTGTGCCTGTATGTGTCTGTAATAATGCGATGAGCGTGGAGGGAAAAGAAAGTTCATCGGGATGTAGTTATTACGATAGAACGATAGCGCGTGCCGTGCACTTAGAGTAGATATGGTCACGGAATGTCTTTCCGTTTCCCGTAAAAAAATAAGCGAATCAAAGGAGATAGGAATTCCTTCTGCGGACGAATTTCTTTGTTGGGAATTAATTCAGCGACCTTTCGCGTTTTCTTAATTTAATTCTTTAACAGGTATTTAAGATACGTTGTGCAGCAAACCCTCTTTTCCCCTTCACTCCACAGAATGAATTCCTGTCAGTTCCTCTTTTAACAAGTTACCATATCCTAGATAATACGAGAAAATTAAGAGGATATTGCTTTCTGTTGTAAATTTGCAAAACTAATAGAAGCTAAGAGTGCCAAACTTTTCCTCCCCTGCGCATCCTAAGTCAAGATACTTGATTTCCTCGCGCTTCTAAATTCGTGTAACAACTTAACGCACTTGTTTTTTATTTTTTTTTTTTTTTAGGGATCGCCAGTTTCAAGATAGAGCGTCCTCGCTTTTACTCTTTTCTCTTTTTCTACCTTCTCCCTCTGTTAATAATTATCGTACAAAAACTCGTTTGCAAGCTCGTCCGCAAGCCTGCGTGCATGGCAGTATTCTCGGTAAGTAGACAGCGTAAATACGATATGATACATAGCGGGGTATCGTTCGGGGCCGTCCCTGAGCGGCCGCGGTGGCCGTTATAACCCTTCTGTGACAACGAAAGGCTCGAAAACACGGTGTTCTAAAGGGAATGACGTTTCCTGAACGTCGAGGTTTAACAGGGGAAGGAACAGGGGGCTAAACGTTTACCCCGTTCGCGTCGCTATGCGCTCGCACCCCGGGATACGTTCGCCGTATCGCCATACCGTGATGACGTTGACGTGTTTTTACGCGTCTGTTTGTGTCGATGTTCGATCCGATTTCACCACAAGACTGCCGCGAATTGATACAACGACGCTAACTGACGACAATGATTATTAGATCGACCGATCGACTATGGATCTACGAAGACCTGAAGTAGAGACCCTCAAGTCTTTAGACACTCAGTAGTTTATTTATGACAAATATAAATGGCAGCATTGCAGAGGACATATGCCAGAAAAATTTTATTTGAGGAGGAACCAAATTAAAGTTGATACTTTTGAACTCGGGGGAGGAGGGAGAATAGTGGATTTATTGGAATTGTTATATTATTATATTTTTTAAATTAATTACTTGCAGATAAATCACAAAATCACACATATTTAATTTACTAATTTATTTTTTCTTTTAAAATTTTTAAATGATCTTCGAACTGATCTTCGAAAAATTTAAATTTTTCACACTAGCCATCTTGGATTCTCAGAAAATTTTCTATAACTTCTTAATTCTATCTTCTTTTCCAAACTTAATTTCTTGTGAATCATTAAGCATAATTTGTTTAAACGATTTTAATTATTTTTATTCCTTAAGGGAAGCCATGGCCGAGTTACATGAGTCATGGCAGAGCTAAAGACGGAAGCGTTACGATAATCAAGACTGTTCGCTAATTCTTTTTCAATTGATATCATAGCTAAAAAGTCGCGTCTATGACCGCGTCTATGTCATTTCTCAGATAATTCTTTATTATTTTTGATTTTGAAAAAGATGCCTCTGCAATTGCAACAGATATTGGCACAGTTAATAAAATCCATAACGCTATTGCTAAATTTGAAAAGATTTCCAGAAAACCACTTTTAGTTAATTCATTTAAAATATCAAAGTAGAGCTTTATATTTACAAGAGTAGCGTTGCCTATTAAAATTTTGCGCCGTACCTGTTTAGTGCCTCGTAATGCCTCCAGCTATAGATTGAATTACATAGAGCTTATAAAAGTTTATATACTCTGCAATAGAATCAAATATTGCCGCCATATTTGTTTCGAGTGAAGCTGTTACTTAAGGATCTCTAACTCAAAAGTATGAGACCTGTTCTTTTTAAACTGAACCTCTTGCATATTCATGTTATTTTCTCTTTTTTTTTTATTCAATGTAGAGAGAAAAAGAAGAAAGATGAACTGTGCAAGAAAAGTTCAGCTTAAAAGAACAGACTTCTTGTCTATTAGAAGTTGAATATCGAGAATCCGTGGATCCCGCTCGAGTCGAAGAAGCGAAAATTCACATAGGGATTTAAGGATCTACAGGAGTCCTGAGATTTGATAGAAATCCGACTGTCCCGTTCTCTGAAAGGATCCATGGAAAAAGAATACATAAGACCCTGAAATCGATGAATTTCGAAATGATAAGATTCGGGATGGATTCCTTTATTCCGAAATTGCTTACTTATTCGAAATGATCGATATTGCGTCTCGACATTATTACTGTCGTTGATTGAAACGGGGTGATCAGCATTGCGTCTAGTTTTATTATCGTCGTCGCTTTGGAGGGAAAGGATTTTGGACTTTATGTTTACGATTGTATAAAATCGTAATTCCGCGAGGGAATGGCGAAGTCTTGTTCTAAGGGTCATGTGGAAACGTTTTGATACGTCATTAAGTTCCTATTAATTCTACAGAACGGCGCGTGAAATATGCAATTAAATACATAATTACCGATCATCTTATTCACCAACTGTAAAGTCACAATTTTTTTCTCGGTTGAGACACAAAATCAAATAATTTCTTGTCAATACGATTGCTTAGATAATAATGGAAAGAACGATCGATTAAAACGCGATTTTATTTGCATATTTGCGTCGTTCGCTGACAGTCGCATGATCTCACAGAATGCAATTTCACCGTTGCCTTAATATTAACTCGAAGTAGGTTCCTCGAAATCTCTACCTCTCCTCCGTCTCTCTTCACGCCCCTCCATCTCTCAATAAATTTATTTAGATTACTTGGTACGAGATTAACCATTTATTTGGTACGATTAACGCTTCTAACCCGTAAAATTGTCCCGCTACGTCCTCGGACGATTACTCAATAAATAATAGGCTATCCTGGCATTCTGAGGCCGTGCGATCGTGAGTGCTCGGTCGTCCTCGCGTTGTTCCCTCGGCGAGAGCTTCCTCGTGCCTCCGTACGATTGCTATAAAGTAACCGATCGGACACTTTTCTTCCTGCCCTTCTTCCCCCCCCCCCCTCTCCATTCTCCCTTTCACGTTTGCAGATTGGCGATCTTGTTAGAGCCACGTGAACGAATCCTTGGATCTTCGGATCCCGCGAATCCCCGTCGATCCTCAGATCGTTTAAGTCCCATGGATCTTTGATCTCGCGGATTCTCGGTCACCACCGGATCTTCGGATTCTCAAGTTTTCCACCCTCCCCTTTCTCCTTCATTTCCCCGTGCACAATAAATGTCCTTTCGGAGTCCGATCGAACGGATCGATCGACCATGCCTACCCGCGTTGCGTCGTCGTTGTCGCCGCCGCTCGAGGACGATAGGAGACGGCCCCCAAGGAGAATTCCTATAGACGCACCTGCCGCAGATACGAGACGATGCGACGCGATGAGGGCTTTTACAGGTGCCACTTGGCTATCAGTATCATGATTAGATGGGGCGCCAGGGTGGCCAGCGACGCGCCGCCCGTCACTCGGACGTCGCTATCTTTGAGGAACACAGAGCCGATCACGTGGATGATGCCGTTGGTGCACTCGACGTCCGGACGGATGACGCGGATCTTCTTGCCCTCCCATTCCACTTGGTAGCCTGAAAAGAGAGAGACTTGACGATGATCTTTGAACGAAGATCGGGGAAACCGCGTGATGCGTATAAGTGAAGCGGTACTGCGATGCAGAATACAAAGCTCTCCCCCGCCGAATCTCGAATGAAAAATTCGATGATGGGAGAATAGTCTATATAGAGATCCTAACATAAATGTCGTGAGATACTAAAAAGAAAAATCGATGGATTAAAAATAAAATAGAGAGAATCAACTTTCTAATAACGTTCGATGAACTAAATTCAGCGACAGTATCTAATGAGAAACATAAATGGCGCTATACGATCGCAAATAAAGTTTCCATTTGGCGTGCACTGAAAAAAGAGTGTTTGATAACAACTACCATATATTGAGTGAAATAATTTCAATCAAATGTTCGATTAATATAATCAAAAGAAATTGTATTTTTCTAAATACTTAGTAAGTATTACCAGACATAATAATATAACTTTAACCAAAAATAATTTTACTTTCCTCAATATGTACTTTTCTAATTATTAACAAACTAATTATTTGTTAATAATTAGTTTGTTAATAATAGGAAAGTATATATTGAGGAAGATAAAATTATTTTTGATATTTTTTTAATTATTAACAAACTAATTATTAACAAATAATTAGTTTGTTAATAATTAGAAAAGTATATATTGAGGAAAATAAAATTATTTTTAGTTATTATTTAATAACTAAACATTTGATTGAAACTGTTTTGCGTCTATAATATACGGAATAAGCTCGATGTAAGAAGCAACAATAAATTGATCAATCACAGTCGATCACAGTTCTTACATTTGATTGTGATTGGTCAATTTCTTACTCTTATACCAAGTAGCTTACTTCGTATATTGTAGATGACGTGTTTCACTCAATATTTAGCTATTAGTTGGATTCCATTTACACTGATTCTCAGATAATTCTCACTTGTCATAATTCAATTAAATGCATGTTTCTTTTGCATTCTGACAAGTTGTTTGAGTTTTTACCTACAATTTGCACAAGCTCGAGATTATGTGCTTAAAGCCCAGTTTCACAACTCTTAACCGAGGCTACTCTTAACCGATGCTTAACTTATTCTTCATCTCTTTCTAATGCTAGATTGGAAAGAAATGAGAATAATAAGTTGAATCTCGGTTAAACGTTTACCGTTAGTTGTAAAACTGAGCCTTAGTGAGTTTCGTAAATTCACTTCGAAGTGAGATTACGAACCTGTGCTGACATCAGTGATAATTTTTTACTAAAGACTGTGTTTCAAATTTATAACATTGAAAATGCTACAGTTTACGTTACAAGCACTATAGATTTCAGTACTGGCAGTAAATTTTGGAATACAGCCAAAGTAAACAAGTAGTAACATCATTAATCTGAGAATAAAATATTCAGCTCACGTCAGACTTAGTTTTACTTGTGTATAAATGGAAAGCAACTATTATCAAACTTTTTTCAGTATGTTATCGTCGCTATATTTCAACAAACACGTAAATAATACTTTTGTTGTTCCTCCAACACCATCTTGTATGTTTAAGCGTCTTCGCCTCGCTTAACGAAAGGTCTACTGAATTCAATCTTTTTCTCTCCTCTGGTACCTTTTCGCGCGATTGTAAAACACAGCGGTAAAAGCGACGGTCGCGAGCTTGGGAAACGCCTCGGAAATTTGCTCATAGGCGAGAGTGAATAACCGGGAGAGCACGTAGCAATTAGTGCCGGGGGTAATCAAGGAATTTGCATTTAAATGGTGGTCAAAAGGTGCATAATAAATCGCCTTGCGGTTCCGGCACATAATGGCGCGCGCATTCGTTTCCGGCTTCCGCGTTCGAGAGGTGCTCGAGAGGCGACATATTTTTCGCAAAACGGCGAGTCACTGCTGCGAGTTTCATTTTCGATAACGCGGAAAAATCCCAGCGCGCGGTGACCAGATATTCATCATACTCTGGCGTCAAAACGCGGGACCGTGAAAGGAACTGTTTAGGGGATGGGGGTTGCGTTGCATCCGTTCGAGAATTTCCTGGACTTTACGCGACGGAAGTTGGACTCGCTGCATCTCGCGGCAACACATACGGAAACGAAGCCCCTTTTCGAGTAGTTTATTTGCGTTGAACTTGCGCGAAAAGTACCACATAGAAAGATGATTTTGCTAAAATATCTAAAAATTAAAATATAGATCTGACTTAAATACAGATCTCTCTGAACTGAAAGAAAACCGACAAATGAAATTCGAGGCGATTGAAATTGAAAGGCGAGATATAACTCTTCCATTAACGCGTTTAAAATTTCTAGCTTTGTTTCATTGAAGAACTGAAAATAATTTCATTGGCTCATCAAAATAATTATATAAGAAACTCAAATCTATCCCTGGTGGAAAAATTTCGCTGAAATTATTTCATATTTTGGAATACTTTTTAGCAAAATTTTAGCGGTTCAGAAAAATTTCAGTTTAATTTCAGCGATTTTTAGATGAAAAATTTATTTTCAGCAAAATTTTAGAAAAATTTCAACAAAATTTCAGTTCAATTCCAGCGATTTTTCAGTATTAGCTGAAAAATTCATCTTCAGTGAAATTTTAGCAAATTTTCAGCAATTCGCTGAAATGTTCCAAAATGTGGAATAATTTCAACAAAATTTGTTCACCAGAGAATGAGTAATGCTATAAAAAGTTTTAATATTTTAGCAATCAGTTTGAGCGACCTATATAATTATTTTTGATAATCCAATAAAATTATTTTCAGGTTTGTATCTTATACTTAAACTTTATAGATATTCAGCAAAATCTGTATAGAATAGCCGAGATAAATCCTTGATCGTTACTTTATTTATTACCTGAATATTTCCAAGAGTTGAAATTCCAATTTAAATCAAGCGAATATTACAAGTATTTTTACATTTCGATCATTTCGAGTTATTAGTAGATGGCTATATTAATATTCGGATGCCATTTTGTTGTTTCTCCCGTTAAGTGAATTTGTTGAAACAAATGCGATCGAATCAACCGGGAAAGTAATTATCGACCTCTGCATAACAAATTATTGTCGCTTTAATGTTAATTAATGTTAATGTCGGGCAGCTGGCTTTCGATCGCTTAATGTATAGAACACAGGTTAGATATTAAGAGATTAATATTTTCGTACATATAATCTAAAAGTGTAACGATTGCGAATCATTTTCTTTTTTATGGGACATCTGACATACATCTCTCAAGATCAAGTAGAATTTTATATCCTCGCTATTAGATGATTCCTCTATAAGATTCCTCTATAACATTCTTTGAAGTATCTTATCCTTATCACCACGTGTCGCACATTTACGCAGGCAAAGGTCATACGATAAATAGTAATCACAAAATGGCGAGGAGGGGCGATTCCTCGTTTTGCGACAAAGGTAATGATATCCTATTGCTGTTGTTGTCGCAATTAATTTACGCGTAACAATGGCGTTCTGTTCGTCGTAATTAATTCCGTCGTTCACAATGAGTATTGTTGCCCTCGCCGCAATTAATACGCTTTTGTTTCTCGCGCACCCGCGCGCGCTTCACTCACTCCGCGTTGTCGCTTTCCACCATCCCTCTCTTTCTCACCGCTTTTATACTCCGTCGTTTTCTTTTTATTTCAATTCAATGATTTTTGGCTCTGCACTAAGTTCCCCTGAGGTCCCCTTTGCGACTGTAACGAAAATTGCGGCGTGAATTCGTCCCGCAGGGATGAGAATCCCGGTTCTAATTGATCGTGAAAATCGGATTGATTTTGATTTTCTAGGCCGTCCAATGAGAGCGCGTGGTCCCTTGTATTATTTAATAGTGGGTTCGATTGTGTGAGACAGAGATTCTCATTCACTCAGAGAAAGATTTTCTTCGATTTAAAGAAATGTTACACTGATTGTGAGAAAAAATGATTTGATTGAATTAAATAATAATAGTTCTGATGGAAAACGAACGAATCAGAATTCTGGAATATCTGGTTAAATTTACTAAAGCTCTAATAGAGATAACTAGAATTTTAATTGATATAATTATTCTGATAAAAATAAGAATTCTAGTAGATTTTATCAGAAATATTGTATCAACCAGAATTTCGGTTATCTTAACTAGAATTCTTCTAATAATAAATTTAACCAGAAAATTCTAATTCGTTTATTTTCAAACAGAAATTTTTTTCAATGTTTTTTGCTATGCTTATTTGCGGTAAAAGAAAAAATTTCATTGATTTAAATGTCATTTCTTTGACTTAAACATTATTGTTCGAAATCAAATAAAAAAATTTCATTTAAAGGAATTACATTGAAATCAAGATTACAAAGAAATGACATTCAAATCAAAGAAATTATTTCTTTAAACCGTTAGCAAAGAAACATTTCTTTAAATCGAAGAAACCTTTCTCTGGATGTTGCAGAAGTAACGAGGAAGATTTTCAAAAAATTCATACCAAATATCGCAGTTTGAGAACATCTGCAATGTACAGATGCAATGTATAATTCAACTGCGATGCAATATATCCCAAATAATACAAAATAATTAAACGAAGCATCGACGGCTGGTCATTAATCTCCGTGCGAACGAGATCTCTGCGCAGTCTCTACGCACCGAGCGAAGTTTGTTTCATTTCGAAGGGGCATTGCTTTTTCCCCGCGTTAGATCCTTCGTATGCGTAAGCGTATAAGCATCAGCGTAAGCGCACAAGCTCGGCGTACGATCATACAGAAAACAAATCAGAATCGTTGCACGAAAGGCAGCACCCAAGGATCTAAAGATAAGTACCAAGATTTAGCGAGCGTAAGATTTTCAGGATCCACGGTTCCTAGGATGCTCCTCTCCCGTTCTTTCACGGATGTTCTTCAAAGCGCCTTATTTTTAATTGAAACTACAGTTCTATATAAAATTATTGAATTTAACTCTGGAATGCAATTCATATTTTTTTTTGCATTAACTATTTTAAGTGAAAATTCATTCGTATAATTAAAAACTTTTTTAAATCTACTTTATAGATTGAAAGGTGAATAAAGTTAAAATAATTGAACTAACACTGTTTCAATGTAAAAAATGAATTTTAATGTTAAATAATCTTATTAACTCTTTGTGGATAAGTAATTCCATTTGAGAGCATCCCTTTTTGTTTTGTACTACTTGTTAAATTTTTATGAAACTTGGCCTATAAGATAATTTGATATTGCTTTATTCGAATCTGAAGTTAAAAATAAAAAAATTGAAAATAATGCATTCAATATGGCGGATAGAATTTAAAAATAATATATTTGATTATTATAAAATTCGCTTTTAGCAAATTTTTAATTGCGAAATAATATCAAATTTCAGTTTTGCTTATTTGAAGCTGATACAAACAGTTAGTATTTATTTCCAAATCGTGATTGCGAGCCTTTGATACTAAATTCCCTATCATTAAAAGTTAATAAACTTGATATATATATATATATATATATATTTTTTTTTTCAGGCTATATTCAAACTCAAAGAACTTAATTTCACGATTAGTAATTAGATTACTTTTTTAATTCTAATTTGAATTCTAAAACTAGATTTCGAATTCGGATTTCGTAAACCCTTGGAACAAAGTCTTCTTTAAGCATTTTTTTATTTGAGAATACTTTCATCCTCAAAGGATTAAATGTTATTTGAAGCCATCAAAAAATTTTAATAAAACAAAAAAATTACTTATATAGTCTACTAAATAATCTACTAAAAAAAAACCCACAATAACATTCCAGGGTTAAATGTTAAAAATATGGAATTCCGATATCAAATGTTGTACATTCAATTTACGCAATTTACACATCCCAGAGCCCACAGATCCGGCAATTATACAGAAAACGAACTTCGCCGGGGCGGGAGTTAGCATGAGTTTCATTCTCCCGCGCGCACAGACGTAATACGGCATGTACGCGCGAGTGCGTAACGCGGTGCGTAAGAAGGGTGCACTCCTTCAGTAGATCGCAATTTATAGTAACTGTGCTGCTCGTACAAAGTGAAAGCGCTCGTGTCGTCGCTCGTCGGCGATGTTTAAACACACTTAGCTCACTCACCGGATGTTTCTGGACGGATTGCGTTTTCGTCGTACCTCTCATCTACATGTAATCAGACAGCACCAGGTTTGAGAGTGTCGGTGACAGGCGCGGGGACGCGTCTCCGTGACGGTTCCACGTCTCCAATCCGCGAAAACAATCGCGAGTACGCGAAAACGTCGCGAAACAAGATATTCAAGCTATCGCTCTAGATAGCTAATGTTTGAACAAAGGAACGCGTTTATGTCACCGAGGAACTGTCCCTATGCTTCTCTAACGTCTCTATTCCGAATTCGCGCGTCCAGATTACGCTCGCGCGAATATACGAAACTTCGTGCCGTCTTCCGCGTTGGACGAATGAAATTTTTGCGAAACGTCCGACTGCCTAAGTTGACATTGAGATGCGACAGATGTATCGTTTTTTCGAAACTTATTTACTCACTTTCGCTGTGCTCCTTGATACGAAGCTTTAAAATGTCCCTGGCCGCTGGGAGGTAGAGAGTATCGTTGCTCATTTCTTTCAGCTTCGCCATCGTGTACGCCTGATCCGCTATTATGAGATGTCGCTCCAATATCTGCTTCGTCTATAAACGAATTATATATATTTTTGCAGTTGGATGTACATTGAGATCTTCTTGGACAGCTAACTCCTCGTACTATCGTATATTTGAGAAAATAATAGAAATTTAAAGAATCCTGTACTAATCATAAGGAAAAAATAGTTTTAGTCAAATTGGCTGAAACTATGATATTTTATAAATTATGAAACAACATTAAGTTTTCAGATTTGGTAATCAAAAGTCTCCATAACCATCAAAGGATGGACAGATTTTGCTGTAGCACTATTTGAAAGTTGCTATTTTAAGTCAAATCGAACTAAAAAGTATCTTTATCTACTAAATTATTTTTAACTTTAAAACTTTTTATGTTATATTACGATAATAAGATAAATCAATTAATGATATGAAAAAATATATAGCTGTTAAAAAAAATTATGTAATTTACAATATATAATTATATATTCTTTTAAAAAACAATTATGTGTTTTCTTTACACTAATTGATCCATCTTATTATTTTGTACATAAAATATTTAGATAGAGTTACTAACAAATGAATAGTTTGATAGATAAAGGTACTTTATTTAGTCCAATTAAAAAATAACTTCCAAATGGTGTTACAGTAAAATCTGACAATCTTTGATGGTTGTGTTTATGAAGGCTTTAGAACATCTATAGAATATTATAGTTTTTCAGTCAATTTGATCGAATTCGCTTTTTCTATACGATTAGTACATCTTTTTATTTGACCTCAAGAAAGAGAGAGAGAGAGAGAGAGAGAGAGAGAGAGAGAGAGAGAGAGAAAACTCGATAATAAAAAAGTACAATCATTTAAAAATTTAACGATCCAATAAGGCAAGAAGATTAAGAGATGCACAGCTCTGACAGCAATAATCTCGGATATAAAAGTTTAAGATGCAGTACGTGCATCTGGGAAGTTTACTCACGTGATAACTGAACTCGGTCATGAAGAGCTTCTTAGTAGTTGATGGATAGTTATTCGCTGCGTCTTTCCAGGCGTAATCGTACGGGGCGAAGTACGTGAATCGCTTCTTCGTATCATTCAACTGATCATTAAATCCACGTCGCTGACCCAGCGAATAGGTCGAGCTGAAAAAGACGAGAAGAAATATCGGCAATGAATTTCGTGTCGATGAAACTCCGATGATTTTACGGGGCGGTGTTTTAAGGACGGAGGTTGTAAATAACGCCTCTCATTCGCGTTGCTTAAATCGTTTTAATTGAATCAGATGCATACGAGTTAAGCAGCGCGAAAATTTTTTAGTGGCGAGAGATTGTGAGAGTACATCGTGGTAACAACGTGATGTTTACTCTATCCTCGCTTCTCCAAGCGGTTTCACCTTCTCGTTGCCTCTTTTGGGATTTAATCCGCCCTCCACCTCGGGAGTTGATCTCACCGCTCTTTATAAAGCCGCCGAACCCGCTCGTCGTATCTCCCGAGTCTGCGGAGAACTCCACGCGAGAACCCGTCCACGGGTTATCAATTATAATTTTAAATTAGAAGATAATCCGCAGCTTTCTTCGCGCGGAAAGCCGCCGGCGGTATGATGAGGCACGATTGTTGGCCGGTTATTTGGATCAGCGTACATAAATAATTTCCCATCAGAAAACCGTTAGTTGTTGTTGCATCTTACAATCCTATCGCAATTGTTTGGAACTGATTCGATTCTTGAAATATGTTGTTAAATAAAAAAGACACATATTTTTATATCAACCCAATTTGAGATTTAAACGATGAAACAATTATACTTAAAAATTATACTTAATAGAGAAATAGAAATGTTTACTAAAATATTAGATTTTAACAAATTTAAACACATGATATATAAAAAAACCATAAAAGTTTTATCTAAAACATTTATATATATATATATATATATCTCATTGTTTTATTGATAATCAAAGTGTTAGATTTGAGGGATTATTTCACCCTTTAAATCTTAAATTTGGCCGATATAAAAAAATATGTGCACAATAAAAAACATTTGTGTTGAAAACGCTTCACTCGAATTTCTGTTAAAATCTTGCGTTGAATTTTTTAATATATTTAAGTGCTTTAACATAATATGATTATGTTATTTAAATAGTTTGTGTTAAATTAATATTCAATATTCTTATTATAATATATATTCTTATTTTCTTAGTGTCAAAATAATACAATTTGTAAACGATTTGAATAAATAAACAGATTATACATAAAATTATATATAAAATAATGTATTTAAAATTTAAATTCTAATATGAATGAATAAAATATGTGTTACTTTATCATATTATAAATGCTAATTTTATTAAAAATAATTTCACAGTTTGTTTATAAATTGTGTCAGTATTATCTTTTTTATGTTTATCTTTCTAAATAATATTTGCGTTATCTTTTAATGTATTCATTTTATATTACATATTAACATATATAAATTTGTGAGTGGGCTGTTTGAGACATGTGAGATGTGTCAAAGTTAACTTTTCCAATAGTATGTCTCTTATTTTGTATTTAACATCTATCAAGGAAAATTGAATCAATTTGTGACAAGTCTCTTGTTAGACTTCATAGACTCTAAATTCTAAATGAATCGCGAATCTTCAAACTCTAGGAATCTACGTCAACAAATCTATTAAAGTGCCTCCAGATGATTTGACCAACATAAGCCAATTTTGCACACATTCATTTCACTAAATTGGTCTACATTCATGACTAATTATCCATATCAGTGTCTGTATATAATATTTGAAAATCTGGCATACACTGGCCATATCACCTGATGGTACCTTTAGAAACTGAATTCTTAAAATCATTCACCTAAAATGCTTAGGAATGCTTTAGTGCACTTTTTGGACTCCAATAGGCTCTACAAATTTCGATACCTCGATGCCTTAACCTCAGACTAATCGTTTCCAGAAGTTCACGAATCTCGAGGTTCTCCTAATCTCCCGGATTGTAGGACGCCGGAGTTAAACGGGGCGAGTCTAGATGCGCCGAGAATTCGTACTTCGAGCCCGGTATGTTCTAGCCGGGTAATTTCGCCGAGTGAGTTTATTTGCTTTTTGCGCCGCGCTTCGAGTGCCGACCGTTAAATTGGACAAGGAGGTAATATCGGCATGCGGAGGGACGCGTTCGACTACGAATTTAATAGGTACGACGTGGTGCCCTGAGGAACCATACAAATCCAGGCGTAAGACTTTAGCACAGTTATAGTTTTTTACGTCAACGGCATCACCATGGCAGGATCGACGGGGTCCGCGGTAATTGGAATGGGGATTTGTTGCGTTATTTTAATTAAATTCGAACGAGAGTGAGAGGAAGCGGAGGGAGAGGAAGCGAGATGGGGTTGGGCGAATCGTGCGGAAGAAAGGTTCGCGAAGTCACGCGCGGATAAGATTCTCTTTCAGAAATGGATAAGGTGTAGGCGGTGATGGTGTCTTGCGAAGATCATATCTACACGTGGAAGCATGACCGACCCACGTGTATCTAAGGACGTGCGCAGGATTCCATTTTCGCAATTACCGAGATAGAGATATTTTTCTCGCAAGGGACAAATCATCGTCCGGTATATCATTTCGTCGTGCGAACAGAAAATCGGGATCCTGTATTTTATTCTATTACGGAAGGAGGGAATACGAAATGGAGTGGAAATTCCGGACGCCTCGGCGCAACGATTTACATAATTCCTGTTCACATTACTCTGGAACGTAAAATTAAAGATTTAAATACAACGAAAACATGAACTCGTAAAATTAAACGGAATCGCAAGTTGACTCTATCGAGTAATGGATGTCTCTTATGCACTCGTCTACTTTTCGTGTTTTTTTGTGCCAAAATGCCACTAGTACGACGCTCGAGATCTTTTATAAAAACCAGAGAGTCGATGATTCAAGTCGCTTTGCATAAAGATGAATAAAGATGAGGAAGAAGGTAAGGGACTCACTTGAGCATCGGATCAGTCCTGAGTTTGTCGAGCACGGTGGTATAGGGCACCCCGAGAAGCCTGTCGATTATGTGGATAATCCCGTTGGTGGCGGCGATGTTGGCGGTGATGATGGTCGCGTTCACTCCACCGCCTTCCACAGTGACGGTCTGATTCTCCATCGGTCCCTGCACCACATTGAAGTAGAGCTTCTTCTTTTCAGCAGCAGTCGCCACCTGCAAGAATCCGAGCAGAGTTCTATGAACGAAACGTTCGCGGTGCTTTAAGAATTGTATCATCGAAATTGCGTCGAAAGAGCAAAGAAGTGAGATAGGTAGATAGATAAATGAAGGCTTTTATTAATATTGTAGGGCAAATCTTCTAAGAACAAAAAGTGACCAAAAAAGAAAATGGAAGTGTAAAAAAGCAGAATAAAAAAAAATGTAAACATTTTAAATACTTGCACTGTAAAAAGTGCAAAATCTAAAATGTTTATGTTTTGAAACATCTTTGCAAAACAAACATTTAATTTAAACGTTTTAATATTTTAAATCCAGACACATAGTATTTTATTTATTCAAAAAATTTAAAACTTAAACATCTTTAAGTGTTCAAAAATGAAGACAAGAATAAAACGTTTCAATATCTAAAAATTAAACACTTCTATTTTAAATGAAGAAAGTAAAATAATACCAAGAAATAATAATGCAGACTAATATAAGATAGAAAATAAAAACAATAAAGACAAAAAAATGTTAAAAGAATTGAAAATATAGCAGAAAAAGTTGACAAATGCCCGTTTTTTCCACCAATGTAAATTAACTTTAATCTCGATTGAACTCATATCTTTTTCTAATTTTTAGATATTAAAAAAAAAAATGAAGAGCAACTTGAACCGAGATTAAGATTAATCCGAATTAATAGAAATGATCAAGATAAAGAGAAATAAGAGAGAACAGATAAAAAAAAAACGTAGCTCTTTTCACGCACAAAAAAGATGCACACACAAGGAAGATGCCAGACGCTGCACATGAATTCTTCGAAGGCACGTGGTCAACTCTCATCGCTCAAATTGAACTGCTTTAATGAATCCGTCGAGTAGACCAAAACAATTTTAATTCATGTAATCTTGACAATTTATATAAATAAAAGATATTTCACGCGAACGGTGAATAAGAAGCGAGCCGCATCAATGGAAATTCGAGCGTAGAAATTTGTTCGAGAGGATCCTTGTGCCTATAACGTTTTCGAAGAATTACATACAAGTCGATTTCGTGCACAAACAGAAACCACCACATAGCGTAGACATTTAGATTCGCAGAGAAAAGTCGGGAATTAAAAGTTATACGCGTCTCTCCATACATAAAGATAGGCTGAAGAAGTGAAGTTCGAGATGCCAAGCAATCAGAAGTATAAAGTTCCGTATGGAGTTTCGTGCACACGACAACGGGACACACTTATAAATATCGATAGGGGAGTCAGAAATTCCTGACGAGAAAGAAAAGATCAGCGACTCATGCCTCAGTTTAGGTTTTTTTACGTTTATTATTTTACGTTTTGCGTTTATTATGTTGCCATAATATTTTTAATTATCTTCGTTTGATGAAATGATTTCCCATAATCGTTGTAGGACAAAGCCCACGAACCAAAATTACGTCTTTGAAGCTCACGTGAAAAATGATACAATCCGCTCTTTGTGAAAGTAAACGTGTTTATTTTATCGCAATTATGACGTCAAAGGGAAGCCATCAGCGCGACAATCTTCGGATGAAAATCGCATAATCGTGAGGCACGAAACGTTCCCTGGAGCACTTCCGAGTCCGCTTTCTTGGGCGGACACGTAATTTGATCTTAAAAGACAGCCGCGACGAGATTCTAGGCAGTGGCGACGTCGAGGCGAAACGAATCTCTTTCGATCCACCGGATTATCCGGACGATGCGGCGTACGTTGTGCTTCAGTGTGCTGGCAATGCGAGTCTTTAACTTGCAAATATCGTCCGGATTGCAAATCGACACCCTCCCTTCCGACTTGTTCTCTTCGTTCCCTCTTGGCTTTTGCCATGTCTCTTTCTCTCTCTCTTCTCATTCGCTCCTCAATCGTTGATGTCGGGATGGAAAAGCTTGGTATAGAGAGCGCTAAGAGGCAACGATCCCTTTTCCGGCTGATCCAGCTCTCATGAATTTCCCGGCGTGCACTCAGAGCCACTTCCGGTTACTTTCCTGACGTTCATCCGTGTTAGAGATCCATCGTTGAGAAACTGAGGAAACTGGGATGTACGGGGTGTTTAAAAAAGAAAGAGATATCCGGAAGCACATTTTTGAAATTAGGGTGAGCGAATTGGGAATTACTATTTGTATATATAAAGAAATCTTACACTGTTAGACATCAAAGGTAATCCAATCCTTGAGTTAAATAACGTTTTGTTATTTTTAATTTCCATATATGTCAAAATTTAAATCATCAATTCATTTTTGTGATTAGTTTAGTAAATAAACAACATTTATATTAATATATGTGTTTATTAAATAATAAACTAAATTTGGGTCAAATTTAATACACTTTCTTAAGTTAAATTGTTTAACTCTCGATTGTTTTAGTTATTATGAATTAATGACATATAGAAATAATAAAAAATAACTCAAAATTGAATGTAATTTAACATCGATTTAATTTAACAGTATAAAGATTTAGATTTAGATAATAATAACATATTTAGCTAATAGATTTTAGTTAGCCATTTAATTATAAGATGTGAATAAATATTTGAAGTTAAGAGAAACTATAAAATCTTTTCTTATGCATGATAGCTAATAAATTTGATTCTATTTTATAAAGAGGAATATATCTTAAGGAATATCTTTAAATTCTGCGAGCTGTGTCTTTATATGTTATCATTGCTGCATTTTAGAAGTGATCGTAAAAAAATGTCTATTCTTGCAAAAATAGATTTCGACGAAAATATCGTCAGAGAGAATAATATATATCATGTTATTTCTCGATTAAAATTCTGTCGGCTTATTAAGATTCTGCTAGCACAAATGTAACATGCATTAAAATTTCATTTATGCTTCGCCGTTTTGGTAGAAATGGTATGCCATGAATGAATAAAATGTTTTGCTGTACATAACCGATTTTAATGTTTTAAGCTGCTTTCCGCTTTAAGATAGAGACGCTTTTAATTTTATCGAGATGTAAGAATGGAATTTTTAAGCATTCATGCGATCGTTCTTGATAAGCAGTCGCCATTTTCGATACGCCTCCGCAATTAGTTTTTTATTTGCGGCCGTTTGACCTTTCGATGTGTTTGCTGTTATTAATTACTGCGCGTAAAACTACGGCGGAACTTTTATTTGCGTGGGAAATGACGTCGAATCAATTAATTACGAATGGTCATCACGAAACAAATCGTACACTAAAGTGAAAAAACAAAAGTGAACGCGACGAGGGAGATTGAGATTGATTTATCTAACTCTTTTTAGACTCTGTCTGGAATTCACGCGAAATTTATATTATCAATATCGGATGAATATCATCTTCGCGAGCCAAACTTATCGGGGAATCTGATTTAATTGGATTACTTTACTCGTGTAATTAAAACATCCAACTGTCAAACATTCAAGAATTCTAAGAAGCACAGATATTTCGGGAAATCTAGAACAAAATGAAAATCTAAAAAAATTCTGACTTCTATAATAATATTTTAAGTAACATCTCCGAAATGATTTAAACTGATATTTCAGATAAAGTTACAGACCTCGTCTTATCGAAGAAAGAGAGAGAGAAAGAGAGAGAGAGAGAGAGAGAGAGAGAGAGAGAGAGAGAGAGAGAGAGAGAGAAGAGGGAAGGAGAGGGGGAGGGGAACGAGGTAATGTTTGAACTAATGAACTTTAAATAACGCATATCTAAAATATGAAACGTGGAACGGAGAAACGCGAGTAGGGAGGGACAGAGGAGAGTACTTTTGCGATGATATCGCGAATAAAATTGAATTTTACGTCGCAATCCAACCCGACACGTTTCGCGGCACCTTCTCTACCGGGAGTGCTTTATCATTTCATCAGCGTACGAGTGACTCTTCCGAGGTGTGGTAGCACGAAGCATGAAAGCGGTGTAAAACATATCTCAGTGATAAATTAGTACGCGGACATACGGGTGCGTGCGCTATTTAATGCAAATCGGAGCAAACCGAATAAAAAAAAGAGGAAAAAAAGGAGAATAAAAAAAAAGAGGTAGAAAGAAATGTACATTGTACGTATGTCTATCGACGCGTAAAAGGCATCGTGCGTGAGTACATGCGTGCGTGCATGCATTGATATAAAGCATATTTTTCCGTTAGGGTTGTTTGCTTATCGTATACTTTCTAGGAGTTATTAATTATTTTCTTTCTCAGTCTCGACTGGTTTAATGCAAATTGGTCGTAAGTGGAAAGAACTATATCCTTCATTTCTTGGCACATACTCAGAGAAAGATATAGTGAGAGCAATTATAAAGATATCAGGACATGATACACTGTTAAAAATTTCATGACATTTAATATATTTTTAAACGTTTAGGACATTAAAACAAGTTTATTCTGTAAATTTCGAAAAATCTAAAGAAAATGAATTTTTTTGAAAAAAATACGTCCTTAATGTATTTTTCATGAAAATTTATGAAATTTAATATAGACATGGAGGGTGTAACAGCTAGAGCGCAGAGCGAACGTTCAAAATAAAGATCTTTTTATCAGTGAATCCTGACTAGTCATTTTTTTACGCGAGAGTTCATCTATTCTTTTTGTCTAAAATCAAAGATGGAATGATAACATTTGGTCCTTCTTTTTTTTAAGTTACACAATTTTCAAAATTCGAACCTAATTTCATGACATTACATTAAATTTAAGGTTCTCTGATTGTGTTCTCAACCTAATAAGCACGTTAGTGCTCACCATTATGAAAATTTTTATGAAAATTTATTTCACTTTTATGTAGCATAAGATATTTCATAAGTGTTAATACAAGTTTTTTTATACAATATAAAATGCCTCCCGCCTTCGCTACTGTTGCCGGTACGGCAACGGTTGTCGAAAAAATAGCGATTTTACTTATTTTGCTACTTATTTTATTTAATAATTTCTTAAAAACAATTATCAGAAGCCATATTCAAACAAATTTCATATTATTTCAAGTTTTATGTCTCATTGTTTCAAAAAATTAAGAAAAATTTTTTTACAATGAATAAAAAGATCACTTTCGAATAAGCTTTAGATAGGGATCTTATGTATATGTATATATATGTATATATATTTTAAATGCTTCAACTTTGAAATGATAATTGAATATCTCGATATTTAATTCCTGAGTATTGAATTTTAAAGCACATGTTTAGGATTAAAACAAGCTTATTCTATAAGTTTCAAAAAAAATCTAAGAAAATGAATTTTTTCGGAGAACGTCCTTAATGTATTTTTCATGAAAATTTATGAAATTTAATGTACACATTTATTATATTTAAGTAATTACTGTAATAATTTAATTTTCAGTTAAATCATTCATTATTTTTAATTTCGTTCATAATCATGAGCTTCATATATAGGAAGCATTTCTAATAGTTATACAAGTTTTATATGTTAAATTAATGTACAATAATTGAATAAAATATTTTATAGTTGCAATAACTATGTGTATTAATTTTATTGTATACAAAATTTGTACAGTTGTCACATTTATAGTTGCTACTATTATGTCTTTTTTTGACAAGAGATATGGTCTCCTCTGATTTAGCTCAAGTATTTGTGAGAAGAACGCATTAAAAAATCTCTTGTTAATAATATAAATTTTTTAATATATAT